ATTTCTCTGTTTTTATTAAGAATATGTTTAATACATTTCAATTTTGCCATCTTTCTATGAATTATACTAGTGATCTAGTGATATATATAATTATGTACTATATATACTTACTTTCACACAAATTATGCTGATTATATTATTGAATATAATGAAAAAATATGAATTTAGATTTTTCAGGGTTATATTTTGTATTGTACAATTGTACATCATAGACAATTATACAATTAGGACCTAATTTTCCCTTGTTTTCCCTTGTATTTTAGATGCTTATATAATATACTTCTCTCTCTATTTTTGCATTAGACACTAATGCAAAAATCCATAATTCTGCTCTCCTGCATTAATTGTTTCATTGCTGTTGTCCAATATTAAAAGTGTAATTTATGATGGTGGTGGTTCTTGGTTCAAAGCCAGATTAATAGCACTAATATTGTTCAGTGTATGAATGAGCCATCTGCTTCAGTGTAGATCTAAGCACGTCTTGGGAATTCGCATACTTATCTGCGCATAATTCTTGTGCTGAAAGATTTTTGTTTAAGTACGTGATGTGAGAAATATGTAACCAGCAATTGTGTAATCATGATAAGATGGTGCTGCATTGATCATGGATTGTTAGAACTATTTATTGACTGAGGTGACAGGAGATGGTGTTAAAGTTTGGTGCTGAACTTTGAGAGTTGTGCTGTAATTGCTTGGGTTCTGTGGGATCCAGAGGGTTCTGATATTTGCATGCAGGGTTGGTTCCACTGCAGAGAGGATGAGAGGCCTTTGCGTTCTGATTGGTGGAGGAGTTGCTAGACAACAGATGTCTGGCCTGTTGGTAGGAGGACTACCTGTGGAGCTGGGGGTGGGGGGAGTTTATTAGTGATAGAATGAGAGAGTTGCGATAAACTGATAAAAAAAATGGGGAACTGAGTGATTTGAGCTAATGTGCATGCTATTTTATCCCCCTCACCCTCTTCACAACTTAATTTATTCCCTCCATCTGAGCAAAAATGAGAGAAGGAGCTGAATGTGGCCTAAGGCTGAGCAGAGCTATTCATTTATGATCTCAATTCAAATTCAAATAAATCATGTTTTCATGTGATTCACCAGGCTTCATTTCACAATGAATCAGCTGCGATTATGGCTATGTGCAGAATTGCATACTAGCATGCATCTCATGCTATTTTAGCAGTATTTTATGCATACTGTGCACAGTACACATTAAATACCAGAATGACATTTGCCAAAATGTGCAGTATTCATGAATTTTGTGAGTCTTTCATTTCTAGCATAACAAATTACCCTTTCTTTTTAAAGGGCAGCTTAAAGAGATAGTTCCCCTAAAAATAAAAATCCTGTCATTATTTACACACCCTCAAGTTGTTCCAAACCTGTTTACCTCTTTCATTTGTTGAGCTCAAAAGAAGCTATTTTGAAGAATGTTGGTAACTAGACAATTGATGGTAGCCTTTGACTTCAGTAGTATGGAAAAAAAACAATACTATTGAAGTCAATGGCTACCATCAGCTGATTGGTTACCAACATACTTCAAAATATCTTCTTTTGTGCTCAACAGATTAAATAAATGACACGAGTGTGAGTGTGAGTGTTTCATTTTTGGGTGAATCATAACCCCTTAACATTTTTACACAAAAATTTATTAAAAATGCAAAATAACCCTTTCTGGGATGAATTTAGCATGAATTTAGCATTCAGCGGAATGAGGTCCTGTGAAACAACGCAGCATACTACACTTTGAAGCATTTATCATTGCCTATTGACTGTTTCTTTTTCTAGGTAGGCAGTATATATGTACACTATGCAGTAAGGAGGCTTTATTAATTTGTTTATCTCTGTAATTGTGTCTTAATGGCTTGTTAATTTTATTGTGACTGATGTGAGATGCTTTGAATTCTGAATCGTGTCACATGATTCTTTGGAGAATTGTGTTTTCTTTCTGATTGCCAGTTAAGTTTAGTATGTTTTTTAAATATCAGATTAGTACAGAAGAGAGAAGAGCGCATGTGGTTATTTATAGTTTTCTGCAGGTCAGGGTGCCATCTGCCCTGAATACACCCTCACAGGCATCAAAACACTGTCCTCTGGTGGTGATTCAAAGATCTGCAGTCTCTCACACGAGCACTAGACATGAAGCACCTTATTGGTTGAAACATGTCCAGTATATCAGTTATAGTCTCAACAAATAGTTTTTTTTAAATCTGTTTCAGATCACCAGAAGCTGGAGAGAGAGGCCCGGATTTGCCGTCTCTTGAAACACCCGAATATTGGTAATGGATTCAGTTTTTCCAAAGACGTTTTTTTTTTTTTTTTACCAGAGATTTGTATTACCTAATGGTAACTAAAGATGAGAAAATGACAGACAAAATTCTCTTTGTAGTTCGACTCCATGACAGCATATCGGAGGAGGGCTTCCATTACCTAGTTTTTGATCTGTAAGTATATTAATTCAGTCTCTTCCTTACTTCTTATTAGGCTTTCTTTTCTATCTTTGCTTTCTCTGAGTCGGTGTGGTTAGTATTAGACTGCCCCATTTACAAAGTGCTACTGATATGTATGTGATAGCAGGACAGTGCCCAGAGGGCAGCCTTCGGCAAACCTCTTGAGTCAGTGAGCCCATTTTCAGCATTGCTTTATAGTAGTGACTTATAGAATGTTTTTTTATTTTTTTTGCTACGTTCATACTGCAGCTGCATACAGTTGCCAGTCCTGTTTTAGAGTGTTAAATAGTTACGTTCACAAACAAATAATAAACTAACATGACAACCCCATTCTTATAACATTGCCCTTTAAGCTGTAGAATAATCACATTTTTTAAACGTTTTTTAAATGTATTTTCAAGCTTATTTATTTGAAAGGTATGGTAAAAAACAGCAATAGTGTAAAATAGAAAAAATTTAAAAAACTGTTTTCTATTTGAATATATTTTAAAAATTTTAATTAAATAACTGAAAATTATTTATTTTTTCAAATTAGGATTTGGTACTTAATTATCAGTTATTATTGGGGATCAATTATTATGATTCTTATATATTAATATCAATGTTTTTGCTGCTTTATATTTCTGTGGAAACAGTGATACATTTTTTTCAGGATTCTTTCATGAATAGAAAGTTCAATGAACAGCATTTATTCAAAGTAAAAATAAAAATATTTGAAATTGTCACTTTCGTACAATTTAATGTGTCCCCGACTCCCCACTGAATAAAAGTATTTAAAAAAAATCTTACTTACTGACTTACTGACTTTTGAATGCTAGTGTATCAAAAATATTGTTGATCAGCAAAAACTGTTTCAGCAGTGATAACAATCAGAAAGGTTCCTTGAGTGCTAATTCAGTGTATTAAAATGATTTCTAAATGATCATGTGACACTGAAGACTGGAGGAATGATGCTAAAAATTCAGCTTTGCCATCAGAAATAAATACTTTTTTTAATATATGCAAATAGAAAACAGTTATATTAAATTGTAATAATATTTAACAGTATTACTGTTTTTACTGTATTTTTGATCAATTAAATGCAGGCTTAGTGAGCATCTTTTAAAACATTAAAATCACAATTATTACAAACTTTTGACTGGTATGATATATTATTGTATATGAACAGGACAATTCAAGTCACATCTGTTTGTGAATACGGTTGTCAATCCTAAACACTGGCTGTGTGAATATAGCCTTTGAAATAGAGCAGACCAGTGGATTGTGATGACTCCTGTCTGCATGACATCAAGAAATGTCTTCTGTCGTGAATGGCTTATGTTGTAGTTTTGCTAGTAGCTGATGTGGCTGATGGGAGAAAGGCAGGCAAACAGAGAGGAGAACACAAGGACGAACAAGCAGAGAGAAACAAGAAGAGAGACACAAGCTGTCATATTCACTAATATTCAACTGTTTGTGACCCAGATTCACACAGTATGACAACCGCTTGCACTGCTATTTTTGAATACTGTCAGATTTTGTACGAATAAATGTACAGTGTTGATTTTTAGTTTAGGTTTTGAATAGAGCTCAACAATACAGCTCACTTTGTCATTTGACTATAGCTTACAGAAGCTACAGCCAAACAGTACAATGTTACAAAATATAGAAAACACTCACAAAATAATAAAAAAACTTTTCAAACAAGCATTGTTGAAAGACATAATGGGATTAGTCTTGTTAGTCTGTTTAAATGCTATAACATCTCATATTTGGCAAATGTAGATAGGTTGTCCTTAGCAAATCTGTTGTTTTAATTACAAATGTTGATATAAATTGTTGCTTCTCTAATTCAAATCATACTAAAAACTCTATTTTTCAGGTAGGTGAAATGTAAATGCATGTTGTAGAGTACAAAGACCAGGCAATTCCTTGTGAAAATACATTTTTGCAGTTGTAGTGTACTTTAATTATCAAAAGTATATATAGTTTTTAAATGTTGTACTTGCAGATATAATATTAATGAAATAAAAGGCCACTTAAGTGTGGAGAGAGAGCTGTTTCTTAACACACTTCAGTATACTTAATATTGCCAAAATAAAAGTTTTACTTAAAAAATACATTTTAAAGCATTGTTTTAATAATCTTTTGTCAGGCTTTAAAAAAGTACACTTATTTTAATGTGTTGACTGACATACTACAGTACATGTAATGTATTTAATGTAATATAATTTCATATAATTTCATCTGTAAGTTTAAAGTTAAATTATTTTAAATGTACTAAATTCTAACGGCCTATTACAAATGTGTAAATACAAATATACTTAAATGCATGCATGAGATTAACAGTAACAAGCAAATAACAAGTGTGCAGTTCACACCTATTATTTAAAAGTGTATTATTTCTGTGATAAGTACTTTTTTTTATAAAAGTGTGCTAAAGCATGCTTCTTTTTTTCACAAGGGATGTCTTTGCTTCAATCAGTGTGCTTTTTTGATTAAAAGGTACTTTCCACAGACACCATGTTGAGTGTCACCATAATGGTCTGTCTACCCCCATCATACTGTCTATTGTTACTCTACTCTACAGTGTAATTATCCACCGCTATCTTGCAAAAACTCCCCACTGTGGGGACTATGGTAATTACCATTTCTATGGTAACAGTGACTTCTCTGATTGCTGAATCTGACTTCAGGACTTTTAGGATTCAGGATAGAAAAGCGCTCCATCAGGAATGAAACATATTTTGAAATTGCATTGCTTTTATGAAAGCATGTAGCAAAAGAAAAAAAACCCAATAACTTTACATATTGACCTTTGACCTCAGGGTTACTGGAGGTGAGCTGTTTGAAGACATTGTAGCAAGAGAGTACTACAGCGAGGCTGATGCCAGGTAAGAACATTCAGACAGACATATTATAACAGTAGCGCATTAGAACATTCATAATGTCAAGTTTGTTCTACATAAAATATGCTTACAGACAGTTCTTTTAGGTCGCACACATTTGTGAGCCTGTTTCTCTGTGTGCAAGTTATTTATACCGATGATAAATTATACACTGCTTGCCTTCACCGCCTCGCCTCCTTGAGTGTAATTTTGCATGTGTAAAGGAAAATGTGCTTGTGTGTCTTTGGGGCTGGACAAGAAAGTGTGTGGCATGTTATTTATAGATGATTAATGACTGCATGCATTCATGAATGTATAATTCTATGTACAATCCTCCACAACTTCATAAAAGGTTGATAAAGTCCCTATTATCTCTATTTTTCTCTAAGTTCCCTCTTTTTACTGATTATGTTGCTTGATTTTTTTTTTTACTTGTGTTCCTTCCGCCTGCCTTTGTCACACTTCCCCTCTGTCTTACCTTTCTCTTTCACTGCCTCTCTCTCTCTCTTAGTCACTGCATTCAGCAGATTTTGGAGAGCGTTCATCACTGCCATGTTAATGGGATCGTCCACAGGGATCTGAAGGTCAGGACACACACACACACACACACACACTTGTGCTTCTCCAGACAGTGGTGCTCAATGTAGCAGAGTCCAGTACCAAATTTAGCACAGCCGGATCTCGTATTGTCGAACAGAAAATAGCCTTGCTGTGTCTGAGAATCGAATATTTTATCCTTTCATCTACTGAAATCTTCACAAAGCCTTTTAGCTAGTGAAAATCAATCCACATTTGTGCAGATACAATTCAGACTATGACAGATTTAGCTTTTTTGTTCTTTGGCCAAAATGTCTTTCAACCTGCTGAGGAGGAATGAGTCATCATAGCATGGCTGTGCTGTTAATAAACCTTTTATTCAGTAAATAGCTACTTTTAGAAAAGTCATTACATAAGGGAGAATTAAGACCATTTAGTGATATGCTTGTGTGTCTCTATGCTGTTCTTAAAGCCTGAGAATTTGCTGTTGGCCAGTAAGATGAAGGGGGCAGCAGTTAAGCTTGCTGACTTTGGTTTGGCCATAGAGGTCCAGGGTGACCAGCAGGCATGGTTTGGTAAGTACCACAAAAAATAGATAGATAGATAGATAGATAGATGTGCGGAAGTAGTGCTGAAGTCCAGCTAAAGATATACTTAAGTATATTTGATTGTGCTAAAGTGGAACTATTGCAAGTATACTTCAGATACACTTTAAATTTAAAATTTTAAGCATTTATGCATTTCTTGCATTTAAAGACTGATATTATAGATCATACAATCCTTATTAGTAGTGATATTAAAACACTCAGGCGTAATATTAAGAAATGTGCATTGTGCGATAAAGAAATACTCCAAATAAATTTTATATATAAGTTTTTATATCAGTAAGTATTAACTGATATGCCAATAAATATGCTAATGGATTTGGAGTATGCTCAGTTTGAATAATTATATTAATTATATTTTAAATAGAAAAGTTCAGTTGTTTGGGGGCCAGTATGTCTTTTTTTTAATAATAATACTTTTATTCAGCAAGGATGTTAAATTTAATTATAGATATGTTTAGGACATTAAGTACATTTAGTACATTGCTATCTTAGCAACTAGCCAAAGTAAAGTAAAACGAAAATGTATTTCGAAAATGTTTTTTTAATGGCTTTAGTTTAACCTTAATAACCTGGCAACACAGGTATAAATTACATTTTAATATATATTAAAATAGAAAACATTAATTTAAAATTGTAATATGAACAAGAATAACAATATTAATGTTTTACTGTATATTTGATCATATAAATGCAACCTTATTTTTCATAAGTGACTCAAAAACATTAAAAAAAAACTTCTGAATGGTGTATGTCAGCATTTAAGAGTACTTTTTATAATGAAGTGTATTTAATTAAAACAAGTTTGCTACAAAAAATAGTTCTTGATTAGTACGTAATCAGGATCAGTCGAGGCTGCAAAAACAGAATTTTATAGGGAACACTGTTTTATTAGTAATTTTGCTGTAAACATTTTTGCATGACTAAGCTTATACATGCCAACTGGGCAAAATACACTTTTAAATATTCTACAAAATAATAATTTAATACCGTAGAAACGGCTTCCTTATTTCTCTAAACTGCTCTCTCTGTTCAGGTTTTGCTGGTACTCCAGGGTACCTGTCCCCAGAGGTCTTGAGGAAAGATCCTTATGGCAAACCGGTGGACATGTGGGCCTGCGGTAAGGGATGAATGAGTCACAAAAATATCAGACTCGTGAGTCGGTGTGATGGATGTCACTGTTGAAGCTCATTAACTGATTATTAAATTATTGCAGCCTGAGTTTTTAAGCAGCATTGAATCTAATCCGCTAAATGGAGTGTCCCTGGCAAATTGTCTTTCTGTTTTTAGGCTTAAAACTAGTTAGTCCAATTAAAGCAGTTGAATGAATGTTTCAATTTAGCCTTGATGTTAAAATGATTGCACAATTATTCAAATTCACCATTAGGAAGTTCTTCCCATTTAAAAAAGATGTTAGATGGTAATACCATGGTGCTTTCTGAATGGTACTGAATTATTACCGTAATCGTGTATCATACCTCGGGACTGTCATCCAATGTTAAAAGCAACATTACTATGGTAGATGTCCAAAAAATATAGTAGTACCAGAGTACCATGTTCATTTGATTCCACCGTACTCAGTGTTTGAATATAACTGATTAAGTACAGACATCTTAGCTGAATATATGACCAGATTATTTGATACTCAAGCATTTGTCTGAAGAATATTCCTCTCTCAATGTGGCCGTAATAATATATGTGTTTCATAGGTGTGATTCTCTACATTCTGCTGGTTGGATATCCACCATTTTGGGATGAAGACCAGCATCGCCTCTATCAGCAGATTAAGGCTGGTGCATATGACGTGAGTCTGCATTTCCAATGATTTGCCTGCACAGTGTTCACTACAAGATTATTAAAGCTATTACAGCTACAAATGCAACATCTGATTATATTGCTAAAAACTGATGATAAATTGATGTCATCTTCAGTTCCTTGGCTTCCTACAAATTCATACAAAAATGATTAAATTATGGATTATCGTGTTGTATCTTATGTCTGTATGTAGTTTCCTTCTCCTGAGTGGGACACAGTGACCCCTGAAGCTAAAGATCTGATTAATAAGATGTTGACTATCAATCCTTCTAAGCGCATCACAGCTACTGAAGCCCTCAAACACCCCTGGATCTGCGTATGTGTTTCAACAACACACACACAAATACTAACATGCATGCTTCTTTATATACTACAAAAGAATTTCCTAATCCTCACTAATGACTTGTAATCATTCTGTCTCTTTCTGTAGCAACGCTCCACTGTAGCCTCTATGATGCACAGACAGGAAACCGTGGAGTGCTTGAAGAAATTCAATGCCAGAAGGAAACTCAAGGTTAGTTTTGGTCTGACTTTCTTTAAACATCTACATGTCCTTTGATCAATCTTCAGCTTTCTTCACACTGTCAGTTTACTTCAGAGTTTTAAAAACTATGCATTTACCTCCTTAGTACTTGCAAGAAAGATTCTTTTAAATGTAATGCTTTGTATTATTGCATTACTCCCTATCTTGTTATACTAATTACATTATAATTGTCAATTATTCATGAAAACAATTTAGTTATGTGTAATTTAGTTAGATTTGATCAATCCACCAGCAGGGCAACCCTGGGCCAAGTGGTGTTGTGAGGAAGGGAACGTTTTCAATTGTATTTGCCAGAAATGTAACACATTACATATTTAAAAAAGTAACGGCGGTATTGTGTGTAAATGAGAAAAATAGTGTGTTTATTTATTGATTTTTTCCAAAAACTCCAAGAATTATGTAATGTAAAGATTACTTGCAGTGCTCAAAGCTGACAAGGTATTCTAGCAATCCTCCGCATACATTATGAAAATAAGGGTATACATTGCTTCTGCTTCTGTACTATTCTTTCTTTCATTTCTCTCTTGCTTGTTGTTTTTTTCCTTTTCTTTAATTTCCAAAACTTCTTGCAACTAGGGTGCAATTTTGACCACTCTCCTGGTCACAAGAAACTTCTCAGGTATGTCTGGCTCTGCTGACCTGTATGTGTGAATGCGTGTGTGTGTGTTTAAACTCCCTTCTTTTTTATCTTCTTATATGTGAACATGATTCTCATAATGCTATTTTTCATTAATCTTGTTATTGGTTATTTAACAGTTAATTTGTTTTTTATTATTATTCTTTACATTTTTAAAGCAAGGTGGTACGCCTTTTCAGACATTTTATTTAACCTTTCTTTCCTGTTTATCATTGCTTTATCTCT